TAGTTTGTTTTTATTCTGAAAGTAATGAACGGAAGATATTTTTCTAGTGTGGTAGTAATTGCGTTTTCAGCACTAATGAATTATTCAGATAATTTTTCTCTCTCTCTGTTTGTGGTCCGCCATACCTAAACATTCTTATTACACTCTACTTTATCAGGAATCAACTTAATCTATGGTGATCTATAATGGTCATTATACACGTTTACAGTTAGTGTACGAAAAGCCTGGGGAGTTGTAAACACTGCATGGAGTTGGATCTTATGTTTCATTCCTATTATATTTATATAATTGTAATTATATTTATATTAATTATTATATTTAATTAAAGATAAATTGTTAATATATTTATGCAGTGGTAATGATATTGCCAATTAAATATTTATGTTAAGACGTTATGATTAGCTTACTGGCCCACATATATTAAATGTCAGTATAGCAAATTGACTATAGCTTTGACTTAGGAAACCATTGTTCTATATTAATACACAAATGTATTAACAAATAATCAGAAATGCAATTAATGATAATTGGTGTTTATCAGAGAAGGAAGAAAATAAGATAGCAATATAAATAGAATGGTTAATAACTGTTATATGGCGTTATGCTCACATAGCAGTTACATTTTGATCAGCCAGCTTTCTACAGAGGACGAGCCAAGCAGGAAAGTCTAAGCAAGAAACGATAAGCAATAAATTATCTTACTTTCATTGCTGTTTGAAAGTCGACGCGGGTCTAAAGAAGAAATGAAAAGAGGGCGTAAAAGAATGGATAAATTGATGAACAGTTGTCTGATCAGCAAATCAAAATTAGGACAGGGTTGCAAAAAAAAAAAAAAAAAAAAAGGATAACATTGATGAGATACTTAAGATACAGCGCGTTAAGATTAAGATCTAATTAAATAATTGTGTATTAAACACACACAGATATAGTTAGATATATATTCGTGTGTGTGTGTGTATGTGTGTGTGTGTGTGTGTGTGTGATTAGTACTGTGGTTCTTAACCTGGGGGTCGTCAGTAATTTCCTTGGGGGCGAGATCCCTTGGGATTTTTTTTTTTTCTTTTTCTAATTATATTGGTAATTCTTAGCTAATGATGATTTTAATAATGATGTGATTAATTAACACTGAATAAAAAGACTAAGAACATATTCATAATTTTCTTTCAAATCTGGGAGGGAATTTTATACATACATGGAAGGGGATATGGAGGGAAGGACACATTCGTAAAGGGGGCGTGGTAATAGAAAGTTGAGAACCACTGATATAGTGAGTGTGTGTGTGTGCGTGCGTGCGCGCGCGTGTGTGTGTGTGTTTGTGTGTGTGTATGTGCGTGCGTACTTGTGTGTCTTTGTGTGTGTGTTCATTTGTGTACAGAAACGTCAATGGATAGAATACTAGACAATAGAATGCCGCCCCCCCCAAAAAAAAAAAAAAAAAAAAAAAAAAAAAACATATGATAGCATACATCTTATTAAGCTAATTCGAACTAAGCAGTAATTCTTACCTTGTATACATACATCCATGTGACCGCTTCATAAATGTATCTTAAAGATAAATATAGATACTTGGACAATAACTGGTTAGGGAAATGTTAATTCTAAAGAAAGGTTATTAGGTTAGATTGAAAGAATTACTTTTAGACAATCCTGTATTGAATTCACAATTAACATGTAACAATATAACATCAACATAACATGACCTCTTTTGTGGTCAATAGTTATAAATGATGAGATTATGGTAAGTACAGAGAATACTAGTGAACTTCTAGTTGGCCTTGTTGAGTTATGAGTTAGTCTTTAGGTAGACAAATCAGTTAAAAAGGTAATGACTCTTAACATGTCTAAGAAAGTGAAATAAGGGAGAATAAAGTGGGTTAGATTTGATCATTCTCAGTGCCTCGGTTTTAACTAGTGTTTTCGCAAGTCTTTATACATATAGATATATGAATATTGCATTACATATGTAATATTCATATTTCTTTTGTCTGTGTGTTGGTATACTGCACGTGTGTGTATGTGTGTTGGTGCGCAGTTTAGTGATAAAATCTATCTGCATATATACGTATACCATACAAACATCTATACACATGCACCACACACACACACACACACACACACACACACACACACACACACACACACACACACACACACACACACACACACACACAAACGACATACACATTCACAGGCCACGCACGCACGCACACACGCACGCACACACACACACACACACACACACACACACACACACACACACACACACACACACACACACACACATATACACACACACACAAATTGTATGTCTATGTAAGTTTGCATGTATGCTGTGCGTGTCCGTTCTCATGTAGATAACAGAATGCCTACGTGTAGGCTTCTTGCGTCCGATCAAATCTACATCATAGTCATGTACCAACAAGGTTTGTCATAGCAAGGCAAACTAGAGTTCTGAAGATTACAAGTTCTATAAATCACGAAACACATTACTGAAATTAAATCCTAAAGAAATATCTCAGTTGTCAGTCTTCCTGTGTAGAAGCAATTTCATTATTCCTTAGAAAATGGCAGCAAGACGCCAGATAGAAAGAGTGAGTATAAATGATATGTTAGGTTGGTCTGCGCGGATGACATTTTCTTACACATTAACTTCAGTATCAAAATATGTCTACAAAAGACATAGATCCATCCTAATTGTAAGATGACATTTATCATTTTTTTATTTCTTAATTACATAGTGTTTTGATGGAGTTTGATAAATGGAAGTGTAAAAAAAAGAAACTTGTTAACACGTCCATGTACAAAATTATGTCCATATTTAATGTAGAGGTATTTTAACTCCGCAATACTGGATTAGGCTTGTTCGTTCCGTGACCGAATCGGTCTGGGAAACATGCTTCAGAGTGGTGAACTTCCCACCTCCTTAAAAGCTATAAATGAAAAATGAAAACCAGACAGAAAATAAATTGAGCTACAATAACAATCTGTATACGCGACAACATCACTCAAAAAACAGTAAAACTTATAAAAATACAAATATTATTGCATAGACAGACAACATCATATTCTTTTTGGAACACCGAACGATGACTTTCATTCTTATTCTCATATACACCCACACTGATTAATGGTTGTGTGGTATTCTGATATCCATTAACAAGTTCAAGAAAAAACGTATAGTTGATAGTACAGTATCACGCGAAGTCATTCATAATATATGTGTTTATGTGTAAGCCTAAGTGTGCCTCTAGTTGTGTATTTACTGTGTTGAAATAATGATAAGTATATGAATAAAACTAAATGAATGCTTATCGGTCAACAGTTTCATCTGTTTAATACCTAGATAAGAAGTTCCCTACGATGAGTTAAGTGTCTTTCTAATGTGAGTTAATTCGAGGTCATTTCATGTGCTGACCTGATTACGGGATACAGTCGTAATTAACTCATTCATCCTAAGTCTAGTCTTACGAGACGCAATCTTGCTATGTCTAAAAAAATTGTTAATTGCAGGAATTTCTCCTTTTAACTCTTATATCGCTGTGTATCCTTATCTTACTGGATCCTTTCTGCTGTAGAAAGAAGTTAAGTCAGTCTTGTTCATCACTCCCGTCTGATACAGTATCACTTGAGTCATTCTCATTTTATATCGGTGTGGACTAATGCTCTTATGTAATTGGTTAGATCATGAATAAGCCTTTTTCTAAACGTATAGAAGTTCCATTCTGAAAGTGACGCTCCACATCTTTTTTTTCCTCTTTTGACAGCCAGTAATTCATTTGATCTTTGAGATTGTATTGCCAATGACCTTAGTAGCTTTTGTAAGATTTTTTTTTGTGTGGGGAGGGGAGTGGTGTTGGGAATCTCATGTTTATAATCTTAAGAGTACCAGCTGATCTGATTTTCTTTATGGCCTTGACCTGGCACTGAATTTCATCCTTAGACTAAACTAAGTAACACAGAAACGTAAAAGTAACGCTATTGAAATTATCATATGATCTTGACCGAGGGTTAAGACTGGTGCACTGTCGATGAATGCCTTTCTTAAAGTGAAAGTATGGCATTTCAGTATCACTTTCAGACATGCGGTTGGGGTATTTTTTCAGATTTCATTTTAACCAGGATGATCCCTGATAAATAATGAAGAAGGTTAGTAACTATCTATATTTTCGTATTCCTATACAACTCTTTGTATATTCAAGACGCATGACCCAGTTCTTTGCCTTTTAATCGCTAAACTTTTATTATTATAAGGAGGAATAACATGTTATGCAACACCACAGCTCTGAGTAAAGTTTCGAGTTTCATCGGAGCATTATTGATTGTTACCTAATTGCGTAGCCATAAAAAAAGTTTTGTCCATAGGATGCGGCCGGCATAATGCATTTTAAGTTGGTGTTTCATTACTAACAGGAGACAAGTAATTCTTTACCGTCATCTATTGCTGTCAAATGGTTACAGGTTCCCAGATATCCCCCTAAAGACATCACGGATGTTAGCTTATTTTATCGTTATAGAGTTTACTATGTAAATGAATGGAACTTCAAAGTGTCACACAGTATTAATACAGCTACTGGTATTGAAAACAAATTCCAAGCCTTTAAAAATGCTTGGTCCGTTGGCGAAAAGGTATAGTGTTTAGTATACTGTTTAAGGCTTAGAATGTTCAGGATGCAGAGTGCTTCTTGTGATATCTTGCAGAGGTTAGTGGCAACAAATTGTACTTGACAATATGTGAAACGCCTGAGAGGCAGAACTGGTGTTTCGTATTATGATTATTAACAGGGTATTCCAGTAATGACAAGGGTAAGTCATGATATTGGCATTCGAATAAAGAGCATGAAGACGATGGTGATAGCTTTGTGCTGATAAACATCTGTCTTTCACTCTCTTTCAAACACTCACACGCACATTTGTATGTATATATATACACACACATATACATATATATTTGTATATATAATATATACACATAATATGGATGTGTGTATATATATATACACATACGTACATATATATATATATATATATATATATATATATATATATATATATAATATGTGTGTATATATATATACACACGTGTATGTATATATATGTACGTATATATATATATTATATATTTTACATACGTACATATATACACATATGTATTGATATGTATATATACATATATATGCATATATATATACTTACTATATATATATATATTTATATATATATATATATATATATATATATATACACACACAATCCCACACTAATCACTCTTTCAAACACATATACATATATAAACCTACATTTCTACACACACTCACACGCACATATTCAGTATATGCAGTGTATTTCCTGTGAATCCTAATACAATAGATTAATTAAGAGGTAACCATGTTACTGTTATCATTCCTACCATTGGCTGAATCCAACGAATTTAATAGTTGAATTGTAACTGATGTTAGTCACAGAGTACTTATTGCTATGTTGATAACACGAGGTTACTATAATGTTAGTTTTGTAAATTTTAGTAGAACTGGACAGTAGAATTACGCGGTAGATTGTGTTAGCTAGGTAGAGGGAATGCATTTAGCTTTCCTTTTCACATTCCAGGTAGATGTAGATGCTTGTCGCTGTTAGGTATTCTGGTAGATGCATTCGGGTTAGTCATAACAAAAAAGTACACCTGCTATAAGCCAGTATCATCTCATGTTACAGTCTTTTGGCAATTTCTCTTGACGTTACTAGATGCTCATGATAAGCAGAATGTGTTCTGTATTCAAGGCAAATGTAGCTGTCTCCCGAAGTCCTGGCAGGTGCATCGAGTGTTAGCTGAACGGCAAGAGAAATGTGGTTACTCTAGCCACTTCTTTAGCGATGACGTAACAGGTATCTGTTTCTTGTTAGTAAGAAGAAAGAGGGATGTTTCCATGGGCCAAGGCGCTACACCTGCTACTCATGGCTTGGCGACAGCCCTGGGTGTACACAAGCGATGACTTTACCTGCTTGGCTAAGCTAATCTTCTGCTGAGCCGCGATAGCTTCTTCTGTAAGATGTGCGAGGGTGGAGGTGATTGTGTCAGTGTCGGCTTGCAGGGCTAGAACCGCTTCCTTGAGGGAGGTGACTTCCTGCCTGGTGCCCGTCACGTCGCCGGTGATGCCGAAGACCGCGCGGTCGATCTCGACGACGTGTCGCTGCAGGTGGCGCACGGCCGTCGTGAAGCGGCTCAGATCCGGGGTCTTCTTCCGCGGCTGCTCGTAGTGATGAGCTGGCTGGTGCTGGTGGTGCGCATTCCGAGGTCTGTCCGAGGCGCGGCAGGTGCTTCCGTCACTGCCTGCGTCGCTAGCCGAGTCCATGATACCGCTGGTCTGGTGAATGCTCTCGTTCATCAGCATGTTGTCTAGGTCATCCATGACGGGCGACGCGCTGGTGCCAGGGTCCCTCGGCTGGCTCAGGGACCGCCGGGAGCCTTCCCAGTTGTCGCCCGAAGATCCACGCCATTCCGCCCTCCCCCCGCCATAGCCTCGCCCGTCACCCTGGCGACGCTTGGGCTCTCTCAGCTCCCCCATGGAGCCTCCGCCCTCTCCCCTGGAGGCGTGCGCAGCTTGGTGTCCCAGCTGGGCCAAGTAGGGAGGCCGCCGGAGCTCCATGCCGTAGGAGGCCGACCTTGGCGGCGGAGGTGGAGGCATGGCCGAGGCGGAGGTGGGCAGGGAATCGGCGTGCGAGTGCTCCCCGTCGTCATCGTCCGCGTCCTCCTCGCTCGAGTAAGCGTAAGCCGCGGCGGCGAGGGCGAGCTGGGAGCCGTTCGCGGGCGCGGGTCCTCCGGGGGCGTCGTCACCGCCTCTCTCGCCGTCCTCAAGCATGTCGAGCGATCTGTTCAGCCAGGGAGCCTCACTGGAACGATGGAAGCAGGAGATTAGTTTGCACTTTAATGAAATACGGAGCAATCCGTGCTTGATGAAGTATCTGGAAGGTGTACATTTATATTAGTATTATATATGATTATATTCTTATAATATGTGATGCAAATGATAATGTCCAATCAAAACAAATTACTGTTCGTTACAATGAAGAAATGAATTCATGGAAATGAAAGAATAGTATGGTATTACTATGATATGCGAGGATATTATGATACCTATTCAAAACAAACTAGTCATCGTTACAATATAGAAATTAATGCATATCTTTAAATGTGTGGCTGCTGCGCAAATATATTAAAACATAAAGTTTTTAAAGAAGGAAAAAACTGAGCATCGTGATGAAAAATAGATGAAGCCATGTGTGGTTGGGTCGTATTGATGAAAAATAACAAGGAGAGGTCAAAGGGAAACATGTAGTATCCTCAGGGGGGGAGAGAGAGAGAGAGAGAGAGAGAGAGAGAGAGAGAGAGAGAGAGAGAGAGAGAGAGAGAGAGAGAGAGAGAGAGAGAGAGAGAGTGTGAGAGAGAGAGTGAGAGACAGAGAGAGAGAGAGAGTGAGAGAGTGAGTGAGTGAGTGAGAGAGAGAGAGAGAGAGAGAGAGAGAGAGAGAGAGAGAGAGAGAGAGAGAGAGAGAGAGAGAGAAATTTAGTGACGATAAACAATCTCGGTTTACGTGTGAGGACTACTGATTAAAACCCTGTCGGTATGTATATGTTTATGCATACACACACACACGCACACGCACACGCACACACGCACACGCACACACACACACACGTGCGCGCGCGTCAATACACCTTCTAACACACAAATAAACACGTACACACATAGATGCACACAACAGTGCGTAAAACAAAAAATGAAGAGATAAAAAAATGTCATTTGGTCTGCAGCCTAAAAAATGTCAGATCTATTTATCTACAGCACTTACAATGTTTCCACTTCCATACGTTAATGTCAGATATAGCCTGGACACAGTTTATCGCTATTGGGACATTGTGAGATATATATTTTTTCTCTTAACTTTCGGACATCGCTCAAAATTGTAATTGGATTTATTGGATGATATGGATGTTGACAAATTAATTTATTGTAATTCATAATTTAGCATTTAATACAGGAGCAAGTTGATTTAACTGCAATTTACTCCTTCCATACAATCACTATTGCCATGGTATGGTTGTATTAAGCATAATATTGCATAAAGTGATTATGAAGTTTCATTTCGTTCTATACAGACGTACACACGGATACGAACAAAAACACGAATACTCACATGTGCACGCGCATAAGCGCGCGCGCCGCGCCCACACACACACACACACACACACGCGCACACACACACACACACACACACACACACACACACACACACACACACACACACACACACACACACACACGTATATAAAGAAGGTTCATATGCATGATGTTTATAAATATATGTGTGGAGAGAAAGAGAGAGAGAGAGAGAAAAGAGAACTAAATAGAGAAGAGAAGAGAAAAGAGAACTAAATAGAGAAGAGAAGAGAAAAGAGAATGGGTGCGGAGCATATCCTTCCAAAAGATATCACAGACCAACAGACAGTAAGGGAAGTGGTTCACATCCTGTGATAGCGACAAACGGCAGAAGCTGTTGGTTAAAATACTGCGAGAATCATTCAGGGTGAGGCAAGCCAATAATAAATGGAGTTACGGAAAAGGGTATTCAGACCACTCAAAACTATACTTACCTTAGATTCTTCCTAACACAATTTAGCTGACTTACTTAGTTAAGGTATATGCCTTTTACTTTCCTTTTACTTACGTTGGTGCTATAGTATTACCCAATTAATTGAATTCATTAAATTTAGAGCATAGTACAGGGTTAGTGCAAGTATATGGTATGTATCAGTATTTTTTTGTACAAGAAGTCAGTATAATAATAGTAAAGAATAACATAAATATTATGTTAAGTTTACTGCTTAGAAAACCTGTAACTATACCTCTAGGAAGGAAACATTCAATGATAACTACATATAAATACGTAAATTTATTTAAGTACGTTTTGCCATGATACATTAAAAACTTCCTTACCTTAAGTTCACGAAGTTTTCTCCCGTATCCTACAAGTATCATCAGCAAGGCAGACAGACACTGGTGTTCAAGGGTTGCACAACTCGCCACTAGTACATGTTCAACTAAACATTCTCTGGTTAAGGGTTAATGAAAGGACACAGCTACTGCATAACATAACTTTATTAACTATAGGGTCCAGTCAACTAAAAGGTTCTACACACAAAAAGGGAACTTGTTCAAAACATTACATGGAGGTGAGAACTTGCTATATGTAAAGTCAAACAAAATATATCACCGCACATCCATACAACATGCAAGCATTCAATATAAAGCTATTATAGGGTCGTTCAAATGTGTATATAGGACTCTGATACAGACTAACTCACATTGAGCTACAAACATATTGAACTCAGAAAAAACAGAGGCAAAATAATGGGACAGTTGTACTGGTAGCCTACATGTAAAATTTACAAAATGCATGAAAATACATCATTTAATCTATAAAATACATGAGCAATCTTTTATGCATGTCAAAACTATAATTTTCACCAAGACTACACATACAGAAAAGTAAGACACTGAAGTATTTCTTTCTACGAACCGGAGAAGAAAACAAATCAGAAATACAACTACATTCTACACTGATAACTTAAAATGTAGCTGAGTAAGATGCATATTCAACAATGTCCTCCGGAGTTACAAAATTGACTTCCTTGTAAGGCCACATCTGTCACGTCATCTCCAAGACATGAGGAGATGAAAAACAGGGATGAAGCGGATGCCGTGGCACTGACATTACCTTCTTTACGTTGATATTTTCCCCAAGAGCCTGTACTACTAAGTCTTAATTTAAGCTACAGACATTTACAGGAAGACAAGGGAAAGGCACAGTCCAGGCAAGGCGGTCGTTCTTCACCGGTAAAAGGAGAGCTTTGAGGATACCCCCCCCCCCCCCAAAAAAAAAAAAAAAAAAATAAAAAGCACAAGGTGGCGAGTAACATGTCAGTTTGGCGGCTACACGCCCTAAACCGCAGCGGAGAATGATCCTATGCATTCAAAAGTTGCATATCACATTGCACGTGGAAGGCACATTGGGTTGCATAACATTAGAGACTGTAAGGATAACGTGATCTAAGATTTGTTCATCGATACATCCTCCAGAATCATTAATGGAACGTCGGGAGATCCGACATGAATCTAAAAGGACGTAATAAGGAAAATAAATTTCACATTCAAGATATTGTAATTCCAAACACTGGGATTGCAAGTTCACGATCCAGTAGTGGTTAATATTTTAATTCATACATTGATATTGACGAATAAATCATGTATGCCGACTAGATATATTTATCTTTAATGTCAAAAAATGCCTTTTGATCCCCTTAAAGGAAATATTCCAAGGCTGTAAAGCTCTTATAATAGTGACTTTTAGGAACTTTTTAAAAAAGTTACGTAATAAAATCGAGAACGCTGAAGTAGTTATTCTCTTCTCGATTTATATTTTAACATCCTGTAAACCTTAAACATTTATTGTTTTTATATTTACATAAGAAACTATTAATTAAATTTATCAAAAGTATCGATTAAAAATAGTAAGTGGTCATTATATTTTCGGCTTTATGTTAGGGTTTGGCGTATAATTATTTGTACAATCTCTGCACCAATATCTTCATATAATGACCAACTTTTCCCATGTAAATATCTAAACCTAAAGTCTATGATTTTTAATCCCCCCCCCCCTAATTTACATACCCTGTTGCATAGTTTAGAATATACCAGCCACATAACGCTGAGTTGCGATGCTGTAAAATGCCTAGATGCCTGAAATACTACAGATATCATTTTGCTTAAGACCTGTTATGTTGACGTGTGTTGTTAGTTTCTTGAGTATACGGAGTTGCATGAGTAAAACGTCGAGTAATATAAGATTTTGATAAATAAATGTAGCATTGGAAGTCGAAGTTGCATGAGTAAGGCAGGAGGAAGGCAATGCTGTAGTATGTACAAGTGACCCGCTGGCATACGTGACAAGAGTTAGTCCCAGCAGCTGTTATGACGAGTGTGTTTTGGCTATGCATGTTACTGCATTAATCACACAGGCTGGATTTGATTGAGTTCCTAGCTGGGAGGCAAGTCACGAAATCATAAAACTAAGATAGAGATGTTAAAAGGGAAAAAATATGAGGGTCACATGCAGACAGTATTGGTAAGTTAGTGATTATATTTGGAATGGCAACTCCCAAATTTTTTATATATAAAATACCCTGTGGATATCAACTTTTGAAGAAGCGTTTGTGGACGTGATGTCAATTCACAGCCATGTGTAATATTTCTCAACTCAAAATTATCGAGACCTTCCTGTTGAATCATATCTAATTTTATTCTTCTATACCAGTAATATGCATACATTTAGTTGAAGATGAATGCAAACTCTTAAGGTGAAACGACTTATTTCGAAATTATGTCGATTTTTTCTTTAATTTGTATAATTGCCGTTCACGGTCTTGCCAGTGGGAATTTCTTTACTAAATATCAAAGATATTTTATTCTGACTGTTGGCACTCAAGATAAACATATCCTCGCTATGTGTTTTGGAAGGCATGTTTAGTACAAGGTACATCTGATTTGGGCGCAACTGTAAGGATATATTCGGACACACGCACAAGTAGCCATAAGGACATGTAAGAGCACTCGCGAACACTTTTCTTGTGAAATAGTTACCTTTATTGAGGTAACATTTCGCTAATGACTGGAGTCAAAGCAACACACGAGTATTTAGTAAACGTGACACTGCACTATTTATATTTTTATACATAAAATAACTGTATTGACTATATATACCTTCTCAAACTAAAGAATGACTTTCTGGCAAGTAAAATATATTTAAGTTTGCCAGATCTATGTACAATATTTAAAAGTAACGTAAGTGTACCACCTAAACAGTAATCTACGTTCTGTATGCCTTCGCAGTGGAAAAGCCACGCTACAAGATACTGCAAGTCCACCGTGAAGTATCATTTTCATCAGGATGGCTTGCTCCTATTGGCTCTTTACTCTCAAACCTGTTCCGTTTGATTGACACGAACGTCTCCCTCATTCGCGAGAGTTTCGAGCCGAGGAGGGATCCATTTCTCGAGCGAGTGCGAGGCTTTCGTACATTTTTCTCCTCGAAATTGACCTTCAAGGTGGAAGAACGCTTTGACACCCTCTTGGGCCCATTCTCATGCCCATCCCTCGCCCTCTCCTGAACGGTTTTAGAGAAGAAAAGATCACTGTCAATGTCATTGAACCAGCTTTCACTGCGGACTTCCGGTTTATCCTCTACTTTCTCTACGTCATTCTCGGATGACTTTGATGACTTTGAATCTCTTGACGAACCCCTGTTGCCCTGACTAGACTCTGACCTGTTGTCGTTGAGCTCTTGGTACTCAAGCGCCGAGAGAGAGCTTGCCCGGTTCTTCATGGCTGCTGCGGCGAGAGTGCGTCGGTTTTGAGGCGCGCGACGACCTGCAACGGCAAAAGAGGTTAGCATGGATGACTTATCTAGATGGTGAAAACCAGACGTTAGGTACCTATGTTCTGTGGTAGTTAACTAATATCTGTGACTATTCGGAAGAAAATTGGTTTGCTAACATATTTAAAAAATACATGACATTTATGATTATTTCTCATTTAATGAAGAGCAAATTTCTGTTTCGCCATTAGTGACGAATTGTCTAGCTACATCGATCGTGCAGTAAATACGAGTCGTGAATAGAACCAGTAATACCTTGAGGGCCCTTCACCCTCTGCTTGGTTACGCATGTAAGCGTGGGACCCGCCGTCGGCAAACCGTCTTCATTGTCCTCAGGCTCCTTCGCTACTTCCGTTGGCGTGGACGCAGCTGCGGGACGAGACGCTTCCGTCGGTACCATCCCTGGAAGCTGTATCCCCTTGTGCGCCGACATCCCGGGCAGCTGCACGCCCTTGTGGGGAGGCGTGACGGGCGGCTCCGAGTCCCTCTCTGCCATCACTACCTCCGTTTGGCTCTCGGAGCTCACGCCCACACGCGTCGACTTACGGGCGCGGTAGGAATCCTGTCGGGTCAGAGAGAAAATATGAGTGTGAAATAAGAGTAAGTTGTTGTTAACTTGAACGTAATGAGAACAGTGAATGAATGTTATTCACAGGTAAAGGTTAAGTAATTTTTTCAACCTATTCAGATTCTTTGCAACGACTAACGTAACAAATACATTAATAGTTTTTGTTCTAATTAATGAACATTGAATGAACACCGAAACTAAGGTTGATGATGTTCGACATATATACGTGCAATCATGTGCACATATGTGGTTGTTACGTATGAGAAAAATGTATATTTCTCGTTAAAAAGACAACGACCAATCGCTACAACCACTGATATAGATATACAAAGCCTACATGGCCTGCATCATAGTTACAAGCTCTAAAGTCACTGACTTGGGTTAAAGGTCAAACACATGTCTTTGTGTTTATCCTGTTCATCACTTTGTTGTCAAAGGATGACATTGTCAGCAAACTACGTGCGGTGCAAAGGAATATTACATAACCGTGAAGATGAATAGGAAGAATAACTATAATCACTATGTCACTCTTGATATGTCGATGTGCACCCTTGGAAGGACAGCGGTAATCTTGTTTGTGAAGTCTAATTCGATTAAGTTTCGGATTCTAAAATCATCCATAAAGCAGCGGGAAGGAAACGTGTCCATCCAACCTTAATCCATTCTGAAGGTCAGACGTAATGCCAACTACAGATCGGGCCCAATTAGCATACTGGTTTCACCTTCACATCAAAAGTTATTGGAAATGACACGGTTATAAAGAGAATGTGTGATTATAGGTATGGGAGTGTGACTGTCACCTACGTGCCAAATATGGGACATACCTTGTGGAACATTTTAGATTATAGAGCTATTACATACCATGTAGGGGCACCACAACATATGCGATGACTGTAAATATATGTGAATTATGAGTCTTATGTACGCGCATCCATCTCGCGTGTTTATTATATATGTCTGCATGTCTACCTTTATAAAATTATCGCCGATACATACCTCTTTCTTTTTCTTTCTTTCTTTAGTTGCGGTTTGTACGTTCTCCTTATTTTCTGCGTTATCCTCTTTCCTTCTCTTTCCTCCTTCTTTCACGGAGGATGAGGTCGAAGTCGCAGGTCGATTGTTGTTTCGTATTTGGTCCAAGGCTGACTGAAGCTTCCGAATCCAGTCTTTCATGTCCGGCAGCGTGTCCGCCGAGAACAGGTGTCGACCCTGAAGGAGGGAGAAGAAAATTTGAAAAGGGTGTCCCCTGATCTGTTGCTAAGGGTGAACTGCACTGTATGTCATGTCAATTTGTTTGCGTGACTTTCCTCTCTCTCTCTCTCTCTCTCTCTCTCTGATTTCCTACAAAGGGTGAATTGCACTGCGTGTCATATTGATTTGTTTGCGTGACTTTCCTCTCTCTCAAGTTGAAATGGATATCATGTTGATTTATTTACTTGATATCTTTCTCCCTCTCCCCCTCCTCACCCTCACTCTCACCCTCACCCACACTCTCACCCTCACCTCTTTCTCTCTCGCCCATCCTTTCACTAGCCTCACATCTTTTTTTTCATTCATACTAGCCGAGACAGCTTATGAAGAAAAAAAAAATATATTAACCAGTAAGATTATCATAAAGCGCAAATTCAGTCTATTAAAGATATATAAGCTGGGATACGTTAGGGAAAACTGTGTGCTGTAATACATTATATTGCAAAAACATATTATTAAGCATACTGATTGATGATTAATAAACACAGTATTCGTTTACACACATTTCGATGAAGAACGGCTACGAACCAGACCAATAAAGTTAGAGAGGAATTTAATCGAGATTTATATCATAAAGCAAACAGAAGGGTAGAATGGGGTTAGCTGAGGTTCAGAGCAACAGCATTATGAGAATAAACACAGTATACTTGAGTAGAAAATAATAGTGTGTTTTGCAGATGTGACTTTTTGTGCGTGTACAGGTTTATGGGTATTTTAAAAGGTCGAGAATGTAAGTGTCAGTGGATAAAAGGACTACATTAAAGAAGATGATAGTTTGAGAAGCAAGGAATTTCTGAAATATCTATATATCATCCAGTAGGTTGTTAAAGAAGAGATGTGTACATAAACAAAAGGGGAATGACTTTGAATTTCTAAGACTGATTTAGGGATGATGTGCTAGATAGTGCTAAACCAAATACACAAATTTACTGTTGAAAAGAATGAGCCGAGAAGCAAATATACACAATCACACACATGCACATACGCACACAGGCACGCGCGCACGTACAAACATATACAAGCACATACACGCACGCACGCACATGTGTGTAAGTGTATATGGGTTTGTATTTCTAAAAGTGTAATAAATTAATCTATTTGATATCCTTAGCTATTCATAAATTTAACGGTCGTTTACGTGTTTCATTATTGGTATCACAAGAAATTAAGAACGTTTGCATCTCATATAAATCATAATGAGATTATATTAATGTAAAATACTATAATAACAAAATGTGATAATGACTACTGCATCTAGTAATAGCATGTCTCCTGTTGCCACTATTAATAAATAAGTACATAGTATATCTATATAGGCACGTGTAGGGAGGTGTGTGAATTTGGCCTGTTTTTATATTTAATACAAAATGTTAGATTTAAATCGCATCTGTTTTGCATACACACTCCTAGTCTATCGTGCCGCGCATAAACACTCTGCTAACAGTAAAATTCCGAAGAAGACTGTGAGAAAGCTTAAGAAGCTGAGCGTGATGGTATTTAAAATGTTACTAGGTCAATGTGCTCAATGCCGAACGTGAACTAAAGATATATATACGAAGCTGTAAGTAAATTGGTAGCATTCGTAAGTATACTGCTGTTCTTAAAATTGGATTGTGAATATGGCTCATGTAATTCTTTTCACTAGCAACGTGTATGTATTTTGCATAAAGTAATTTAGGCGATGATATCATGTTGAATCGAATTATGGTACTAAGTAATTGTCTCGCCTCTTTACTGACGAAGATATTAGACCGGGTGTATCAGAAGTCTCAGTCATAATTATGTATGCGAACGACTGAGAGATACAGATCTATACATTTGCCTCGTATTTACATATTGTTCACTTGTTACAGTGTTTGCCATCCCCCATGTGCTATAAAAAAAGTATTTATTGTCATAAATTGTTTTTTTTCTGATTAAACCACAGATTTCATTTTCATTCCTTGTGGGTTATAATAAAGGGGAAAATAATAGCCAGATATCGGAATTTAATTCCATATGATTAGTTAATCCAGCTTTAGAAGTAGTTCTTATACACACTTTAAAGCTTTGTCAAGATTTATAAGGGGCAAATTATATTATTTAAATGTATATCTAATCTTCTCTATTTTGATTATACAGGTGATACAATTACCAATGATATCCAATTCATTACTTGCAACAGGAATTACTGGTAACAGTTTCATTAGGTTTTCAGCATTGGGTTAATCGATGACGTATAAACACAATGCTCCAGAGACTTCTAAAATCGCGTGTTTGTGAAAGATTTGTTCATGTAAACGACAAGCTAGCCAGCCAAATGGATGTGAAGTAATTGGCAAATATTTGTTGTGATTCGCGTCAGATATTCGTATGAGCCTGCTCTTTATTCTACATGAAAAAAAAATATGTTTTTCGAATAAGAAATGGACAATTAAGATAAAGGGAATAATAGAAGTAAAAAAAAAAAATGCAAAGAATGTAAGCATATACTGATGATAAACAGATATATAAGTATAATTATAAAATATGTCGACTCAACAAGAATAATAAAGTTGGACAAGGTAATGAATACAATAGATTATTATTCTTCATCACTGATATGATTTCCAGTAACGATCGCGAATAAATTTCGTGCATTTTCCGCCGAAAGTGAAATGCTCAGGAATATGAGAAAGAACATTTTAACCGAAATGTCTAATAACATCAGTCTTCATAAGCGCACAACATATTTAGTTTCTCTGGCCCTCTTGCTCTTGTGTTGTCCAGCAAAGGTGTGTATATCTACGGGAATCTTTAGCAGTCAGGTTATACGCTGATTAAACGGAAGGCCATTAAATGAATTCACACACACACACACACACACACACACACACACACACACACACACACACACACACACACACACACACACACACACACAACACACAACACACAACACACATACACACAACACACATACACACAACACACATACACACAACACACACACACACAACACACATACACACAACACACATACACACAACACACATACAGACAACACACACACACACAACACACATACACACAACACATACACACACACAACACATACACACACACAACACACACTCGCGCGCGTGCGTGTATATAAGGGTTACACTTATATTCGTGGATGTGAATATGTATACAAACATACTACACATAGATAGAGACATACAATCAGTCCATGTGGAAAATCATAAATCAATATAGAGTTGATTAGAGTAAATTGCAAATCATAACGATCGCATCCAAAAATGGAATAATGGCAAAACTAAATATGGAACTGGAAATTGCCACCCAGACCATTGCGTGCACAAGCAAAGTTGCCCAAGACACGCAACCGAATAGAAGGAAAGAGAGGGGTAAAGGGGGGAGGGGGGAGGAGAGAATGATAAAGGCCATATCACATAATAACATCCCTCCCCCCCCCCTCACAACTCCCACCCAATTTTCTCTACGCCCGTCTTTGGGAAAAAAAAGGTGGAAGGGGGGGGGCGGTATTTTTAGCCCCTCGATCAAAAATGCTTTCGTCATTTCCTGTTGGGTTCAACTTGTGTGTTTTTTTTTTTTTTTTTCGTAATGCATTCTAAGTCTCGCCATGAGAGAGGACGGAGACATGGAAGAACGAGGATGATTTACGGAAGAGGAGGAGAAGGAGAGAAATAAATAAGAATGGAGGGAGAAGACGATATAAAAGCAAATGATAATAATAAGGATAAATGTAAAATGATAATGAAAATATTAGTAGTAGAAGTAGTAATTATAATGATAGCTAGTATTATTTGTAGTAATATAATAGTAATAATAATATAATAATAATGATAATGAATAGAAACACAAAAAGCAAAAGGAAGAGAAGCGTTGACAAGAAATAAGCAAATAAACGGGGAGGTAATAAATTAAGGAAGGGGAGGGAAATGAACTGATAAGATGAAATGACTTCCGGGATCAAGTTCACAGCTTACCTCACTATTTTTCTCCATAAATAAATAACCACACACACACATGCATGTATATTTATATATATGTATAAGTATGTGTATACATAATTATATATATTATATATATATAAAACATATGTGTGTACGTGTTACACATGTGTGTGTGTGTGTGTGTGTGTGTGTGTGTGTGTGTGTGTGTGTGTGTGTGTGTGTGTGTGTGTGTGTGTGTGTGTGTGTGCGCGCGCGCGCTTTGCATGATATTGGATTACATTTCTCAGCATCTAATTGGGGAAAAGACAGCAAGAGGTCCAATTTTTTATAATGGCGGAAAATGAGGGTGGGGTTTGTATGTCTGTACTCTGGATTTGTTAAAAAGATTATTTGTAACCAAACCCGCTTATAAATCAAGGATCAAAGCACCAGTTGTCGGACGGGAAACAAAGGTGTCATCATCAGTTTTGCCGTTCTGTACAAAGTAGGTTTAAAGGTCCTAAAAATCGAATAGTAATTATTTTGATTTGTCATTTGCATTCCCACTTTGTTACTTCAAATTATTCCCGATTAAAACTACACTTTCCTTATTTACTTACAGTGCCAACAATGCTATTCTAATTGTTGACTTAAATGAGGTTTTCTTGATCATCCCGATGAAGTACATCAACTAATCAAATGTGAGAATAAAGAGAAGATATATAGAAAGGCAGAGATAACTAGAAGTAAAAGAAGAAGAGGAAAAAGAAGAAAGAGAAGATGAAACAGAAGTAGTAGAAGTAGAAGTTGTAGAAGAAATATATATATATATATAACGCCAACTTACGGGGTCGAAGAAGCTTCTGTCCTGGGAGGTGATGATGAAGACATTGGTCGCCTTCTTGCAGTCCTTGGGTCCGGCTTCGGCCACTTGGTCGAAGTACTCGAGGTTAATGACCCCGTTGCTCTTGTCGCCGGCCTTGCTGTCCTCGCGCTCGTAGTAGTAGAGTTTCCCTTTGGCGAGGACACAGTAGCGGCGTTTCCACTGCGGGATGTAGGGGAAGCTGCGGCCGCTTAGCTTCGTTAGGTACCCCGCCTTCTCCGGCTCTCGGTGCTGGCTCGCCCCTGGGATATCCTGCAAGGGGAGAGGTCGGAATTAGATTAGTCTTGCTTTTTTTTGAGGGGAGGGGAAGCCGTGATGAAAAAAAACAAAACAAAACAAGTATAACAGTTTCATTGGCAAAGATCACAGATCACACATACAAACACGTATATATATATATATCTGTGTGTGTGTGTGTGTGTGCTCCCCCCCCCCACACACACATGAATAAATGTATATATATATATACATATATCTATCTATATATACATATACATATCTTTTTATTTGTCTTTGCACACATCCATATATATATATATATATATATATATATATATATATATATATATATATATATATATATATATATATCGCGGGTGTGTATGTGCGTTGGCTTTTATTCTGAAACTGGATGATATTTATGACAGTCCAAACCAGCTCTGTGGGTGTGAAAACACTTGTCACTTTTTTTTCTTCAAATGAGCCTACTTACGCTCTTACCAGTCCAATTTCATTCACAGCTTCGTTAACCATGACTAAAGAATTATTTTGGTTAAGTAAGATGGATGGTTGTCAGTCAGCGTAACGGGTGAATGTTACGCAGCATGAACTCGTGGGGAATAGTGGAATAGTTTCAAAGATGTGAAAAGAAAAAGAGCTTATGAGAAAATATAATATTAATTGAAATTGTATGTAATTACATGGTTAGATGTTTCCTTGGGTATTATTTTTTTTTAGATTTAAATTATGAAACATTTCCAATTTGTCTTGCACTATACTTATTCACTACAACTACTTTATTTTAAGATTTTGTGATTATTCCGTTTCCACATATCCTTATAATTACAATGGCTGAAAACAAGACACTTGGTTTGTCCATGATTTTCTGCGCTTAGACTTTACAATTGTGAAATCTATCCCTGTGTACTTCTGATCTTCCAAGGTGTGGCTTAGCAAGGAACGCTGTGTCATTTCGCAAAGTTGATTCTTGTATGACTGCATCTTGTACAAAAGTGAGATTGGGGCTAGTTTTATGCTTAAAGAGGCGAAAGAAAAAACAAAACAAAATACAGGCTTTTCTTCATTCTACATTTTTTTTATTGCGTGACCATGGGCAGTTGATAAGTAAATTACAAATAAAAATGAAGATCGGAGTGTTACAATTTTAGAAGAATAAGCTGTGTGTGTGTGTGTGTGTGTGTGTGTGTGTGTGTGTGTGTGTGTGTGTGTGTGTGTGTGTGTGTGTGTGTGTGTGTGACGTATTACTCGTATGAGTACTTGCCTTTTTCTAACCGTTATAATTAACCTATATCCACACTCCATGATATCTTAACTATTTTCAGTTAATGTGATAATTGAAAATTCATCAAAATGCGATGCTCTAACACGCACTTCCACCAACTTTGCAAGAAAGGTACGAAAAAGTTCGAAATAACAGCGTTCAGAAGACGCTTCCTTGTTTGAGATGGAATGTTCTTCGTTACGACATGCCCCAGGCTGACAAGGTGAGGAAAAGAGCAGTCCTGGAGAAAGGGCCAGTGAATATAGCACATAAAACTGAATAAGAGGAGAGGAGGGAAAAGCCATTTTACTCCCAAATGCGATGAAATTGGAAATGCGCAGGAATGTGTTTCGTGTTAAAGAGAAGTGCTACTTATAAGTTTTAGTAACGGTATAAACAGGAGACGGTTTAATGAAAGAAATGTAACTGCGCTGATGTCGGCTTGTCCATGTCCTCGGAATTAATAATTTTTCTGTTCTTATCGAATATCGTCAGTTTAAAATAACGGAATTTACCAAATTTAGAACGAACAAAAAGTCATTGAAAAAAATCAGCCTTGGAAACTGTATTCGTTAAGACAATTTTACCTCTTTCCATTTGTATACAATGTGTGTGTGTGTGTGTGTGTGTGTGTGTGTGTGTGTGTGTGTGTGTGTGTGTGTGTGTCTGTCTGTCTTACTGCATCGCCTAAAATATCCAAGATTAGCGGTATATCAGGCAAGAAAAAAAGTTTTCTCACTTAGATACAAATAAAAAAAATGTGGATGATAAAACTTGTTTGTGTGGGAACCTCATATACACTATGTTATTAATACAGATAACATTAGAGTGATATGTTACTTTTCAATGCGAAATATTGCAAAAGGAAATGCTTCATTAAAGAAAAAGGTGTTGTCATGGCAATAAATGTTTTATCATTATGTTAATGGGTGTGGAGTTGTATCATAAGTACTTGATAAAGGGTACCCGGTTTACAAAACATTTTTTGCCTTACTAGAGTTAAGCAACTGAATATCAAACTGTAAAATTGCTGATCTGTTAAGCTATCTTATCTGCTTGCACGATTATGCAAAAACTATAAACAGTTCCCTGAAAATGACGTTTATGAAGAATTTAGTAAAGATCAACTCGTACTTGACATTTATAATCTGAAAGATAGACTTATATCTGTTTTTTTTTTCTTAAGGATTTGTGCACTACACTATGATGGAAATTAATAATGCTCGCAATACACCGATCCTACACCGAAAGGAAAATGATTTAAGTGTGTATTCCAGTCACATACATACATAAGTGGATCTTTTACGTGTCTATACATACGTATACATACCAGTGATGACGACAGCTAGGGAGATGATTAGAAAAAGAAAACTTAAAGCATCCAATATTTCCCGGAAGTAAAAAAAAAAAAAAAAATCGAACATACATTTGCATGAATTAACCGGTAGGCCCACGTCATGTACAAAGTTCTTCCCACAGAAATATGCCGCTTTCAGTACGTGGAGAAGGTAATGATCTAGAACAGAACAAAGTCTTCAAACAGCGCGCAAGATAATGCACCTCCTCCTCCTCCTCCTCGCTTTGCCCACAGCTGTAATTCCGTGGTTGGAAACTGCAATCTCTGGGACTGCCATTCAGCACAAGCTTCTTGCTAGGACATTTGCTGAAGGTGAAGGAGATGACGTCGAAGAACGAGAACATTCTTTGTATTTATTGCGATGTTTGTGATGGTTTACTGGTGTTGATAGCGCCAGTACATTATGATTTCAATGATAGTGATAATAGAAATGATCATAAATAATAAAAGGGAAAATAATAATCGTGATAATTGATATCATCATTATTATCACTGGGGATAAAGATGAGGGTGATGATGATAAGGATAAAGAAGATGA